CGAAGGCAGATGCTTAACGACTGAGCCACCCAGGCGCCCCTCTTTTTTTTTTTTTTTTAAGATTTTATTTATTTATTAGAAGGAGCAGGGGGAGAAGGAGAAGCAGACTCCCCTCTGCAGGGAGCCCGAGGTGGGGCTCGATCCCAGGACCCTGGGATCATGACCTGAGCCAAAGGCAGACACTTAGCTGACAGGCCCCCCCCAGGCACCCCAGAAGAGATGTGTCTGATGCATCGGTTAGGAATGTTTCCAGCTGCGTGGAGTAAGTAGCATAAACAATGAGGCGAAGTCTGCTGGCAGGCAGTTTCAGGTCTTGGTCGTGGGCCCGCCCCACAGTGCTACCAAGGAGCAAGGCTCTTCCTGTGCTTCTCCATTCTCAGCAGGCTTGTCATTTTATCCTTGTAGAATCTCATAGAAGGTTGTGGCAGCGCCACACCACATACCAATCGCCAAGCAGAAAGAAGTCTTCCAGGAAGCAAAATTTTCCCCCGAAGATGGCATTCTCTAGAAGATGAGTCTCATCAAAATTTTCCCCCAAAGATGGCCACCTCCAACTGTAAATCTGGGAAAACGGCAAGGGAGAATGGGCAGGCCACAGACCAGGACTTGCCCCTCAGGACCGGGCACCTACTCTTTCCAGTAAAGTTTTGGCAAGGAAGGAAGAGAGGGAGATGGACTGCGAGGACCACTGTGTGTCTGGTGCAGGTGGGGTGGGACTTGAGGAATGAGGGAACAGTGTGCGGAGAGCCAGCAGTAACTGAAGCCGTGCTTAGAAGCATAGAAGCGGGCTGAAGTGAGGCCAGGGACCTCAGAAAGTCCTACTAAGGAATTTGGGTTTCAACCATGATGTCCTACGTTCCCAGATGGACTAAAGCCTGCCCATTACCTTTCTGGCACATGGTCGCTGTGTGCCAGGGAGCCCGACGCGGGGCTCGATCCCAGGACCCTGGGATCATGACCTGAGCCAAAATCAAGTCAGATGCTTAACCGACTGAGCCACCCAGGCGCCCCTACTGAGTTCTTGTTATAGGCCAGGCATCATGCTAGGTGTAAAGTAGAGAGTATGTGTGGCTATCACCCAGGAAACAGGCTCGGAGACGCTCACTAGAGGGCTTGGGTTGAAGACCAGAGGCAGTGGTCAAACCCTGGGCTAGTGGATTCTTAGAGTTGGGATTTGAGAGTGTCCACCTGTGCAATGGCCTAATTTGCTTTTGTCTGTGCCCTGACACTTTGCTTCCTGCTAAGACCAATCAGATATTTTGGTGAGGATGAGATGGAGACAAAGAGTAACTTTCAGCACAGAGCCCACAGGGTTGGGGCAGTTCTAGGCTTTTGACAGAACTATGGTCTTTGGCCTTGGTCAGACTAGGGACTCCTCAGAGCAAGGATCCGTCTTCTCCTTCCGACTGGCAGCTCACGAGGGCAGCGATGGCTATGTCTCTCCCTCAGCGGGGTGGATTCATAAGGCAGAATTTCCTCTTTTCCAACAGACTGGGCATCCCTGAGGGCAAGGCTGCCTCCTCCCTGGTTGGGGGCATCTGTGGGCAGTCTACGTCACACCTATTGTACCGTGGCTCCCTGTGGGCAAGGCCGGCTGTGAGAAGGGTATCTTCTGAGAGCAGCTTTTGGTCTGTTCCATCAGCTTGGGGCTCACTGGAGTTGGGGCTGTGACCACTGAAACTCGGGCTCCTGATGACAGGGCTGTGTCCACACCCCACCTCAGACTGGGGGCTCCTGGGCAGGTTTAGGACCTTCTCTAGGTCAGGGCTCATCTCTCCCTCAGACAAGGGACCCAGTTCCTCTGTCAGCCTAAGCCCAACCCTTACCGAAAGAGAGGCTCCGTATCAGACGGACCAGCCCAGTGTTGGTGGCTGAGCTGACATGCAGAGAGACTCCCTGGCTAGATGTGGATATTCCCAGTGACTTCAGGGTGGGGGCCCCACCCAGGGACCTGGCTTCCTTGTCTTCCTGCAGAGCCTGCAGGCAGGCCTCCCCTAATTCTTTATTTGGCTGTTGAATGGGGATTGGAGCGTAAAGTGAGTTACACACCTAGGTCTGGGCCTGCCTCTGCTTCCTTCCTATTCTCTGCCCCAGTTCCCGAGTTCTCTGAGAAGCTGACCAGGAAACATGCTCTCAGTGGCCCCCATCTCTCCCTCAGCCTGTTGCCACTCTTTAGACCACTGTTCCTGCTGTTTCTCAGGTAAGAGTCTGGTGGCCTGGGTGAGAGGGTCAGGTTTGGGTGCTTTGTGTAGCTGCTCCGTAGAATCCTTAAGGCTGTTCAGGCCCTGGAGGGGCCCCCAGAGCTGGGTTCTGTCTGACTTTCCTCCCACCAGCACACCCCCATAGACACACAACCCTCCTCGGTCACCACAGACACAGCACACATCCTTTTACTCCTCACAGACATTTAACAAATGGGAACCGGATCCCATTTAACCATCACACATCCTTTTACTCCTCACAGAGCATTCACACACAGCGTACAGAACACACCCTCATCACCCACGGACATAGTTCATGGCCCTTCACAAGTGCATAACACACAACAGACCCTTGACACCTACTGATAGAACCCATGACCCTTCACTACAAACAATACACAAACTGTCACAGTGGACACGCTATCCCCTCGTGTGATGCATGTTGTCACCCACGGGATGAAACACACATCTTTACAGACATACGACACGTACAACAGCGCTGGCGGACACGACACATAAACCCTTGCAGGACACGGCAACCCAGACATGAAAGACCCTCTGCTCACTTGCTGCAGACAAACCTACTCCACATAGACCCCACAAACATCCGTCCTACACACACACACACACACACACACACACACACACACACGCATGGCAACCACAGGTACATACCACAGGAACTCTCCTCACCCCCAAACTGGTTCCCAAGATCTTTGGGTGCTGCTGCTCAGCTGGGGCAGGGGCTGGGGTCCTGCTTGTGTGTCGGGGGGCGGCCAGAAGAAGTGCTAGGGGTCCTGGCCACAGCATGGGGCATGATGGGAGATGCCACTGTCCCAGCTGTCTGACTGCTACTTCTGAATGGCCCCAGGACTCAGCTCAGGCTGGGAATAAAAAAAGCTGGCTAGCATTCATCACGTGACTGCTGTGGGCCAGAGATCATGCTCCATGCTTGTACAAGCATTATCTTATTTAACGACACACCACCTTTATGAAGTAGGTACTGCTATCCTCATTTTATAGCTATGTTTTGATGTAGGCTTAGAGAGGTTAAGAAACTTGCCCAATATCCATGGACAAGAGACAGCAATGGGATCTAGACATAGGTAAATCTGATCCCAGAGTCCACCTCTCTTTAATTTATTATTATTATTTTTTTTTATAGGGGGAGGGAGAGGGACAGAGGGGGAGGGAGAGAATCTTAAGCAGACTCCATGTCTAGTGCAGAGCCTGATACGGGGCTTGAACTTACGACCATGAGATCATGCCTTAAGCCAAAATCAAGAGTTGGATGCTTAAGCCACTGAGCCACCCAGGCGCCCCCTCTTTAATTAATATTTAATTAATTTTTTTATTGTTTAAAGAGGTAGCAAATAAGCAAGTTAAAAGTTCAATAGCCCTGGCCACATCCCCGAGGCTTCCTTCTGTGCATGATGAGGTGGCCCTCTTACAAGCTCGGGGAGGGGAGCAAGTGTG